TTACGGACTGCTTATAACAAAAGTAAATCACATAACCTATGGTTATCACACCTCTCTCCTACCACCACCCATTTCCCTTTTTGTACTCCAATTGATGTGAAAAGGTCCCACTCCCTAGCATATACCTCTTCCCCAAATACTATCCCTACCCCAATCTCACCCACTGATCGAATTCTGAAATAATTCCAAGGATCCGTGTGCCCCACAGAACAGACCAGAGTTTCTGACAAGAGCTCGTGATAGACTGTTTAGCTAACCAGACAACTGGACGCTATTGACAATCGCAATCGAACATTGGAACCATACCCTGGATGATCAGACACTTTTTGAGGCTGCTTATCAAACTCCCTCTTGAACACCGGCGAAAATTTGTTAATAATTTCCGCATGAATTTTGGTGTTGATAAGCCTTGGGCCCTGAAAATTTAAATAATTGTCATGAATATTACCTATTGTTCACCATTTTTTTATCATAACTATTTTGCACATTCTGCCATGACTACGAAACCTACAGCTCATCTCCTTAGATATACCATTTAAAATATTCCTCCAATCTGTCCTACTCCTATCCCTCAAATCCCTTTAGAAATCCCCTGAACAATAGTACATAAAAGCGTGAGTAAAACTGCAAGTAATTGGAGATTCAATAACTTGAAGAATTATTGTGAATTACAGCACCTCCAAAGTGAGGCAGAAACATGGGGTGAAAAATAGGTGGAAAACTATGTGATAAAACGTTGTAATAAAACACGTACAATATGATTCGAGCAAAAAGGTAGGAAATTTATCTGATCTTCTGGGTCTAGTAATCACCCAGAGCGACGATATTAAGAACATTAATCAGGAAATTCCTGTTGAAGCCAATAACTATTGTGTTCTTTCCATGAGAACAAGAAAAGGAGATTAGCTTCAAGAAAATGAAATAAATCTTAATACAAGAGTAACTGGGAAAAGTACAGTATGAAGAAAACCTTTTGGAGCAGGATTGTTAAAAAAAAGTCAATTGGAGATGTGCAGAGGCTGACAAGATGTACATATTAGTAATTACGAGACAAAGGAGTGAGGGAAACAGCAACAAATTATTTATCAATGTTAAGAAGCAAAACAGAAAAGAAGCAATGGAGGGAATACAATAGAAGAGAAGACAGAAGTGAACCGAAACCTATGAACCGGAGTAATTAATGAGTACATAGACACCAAAAAATAGTCGTACAATTATTTTATAAGTGACATTACATCCAAGGCCAAAAAGTAACCGAAGTTGCTTCAAAGCAATAGTATAGAAAAAAGGTCAAGCAAAACAAGAAGGGAGCAAGACCATCAGAATAATGACAATGGAATTTGTGATCAACACTATGCAAACTTCCTATTGATTTTTTTGACAGCTCTAGTCGTACGAGAGATTGATAGATAATAAGGAAACATCAGAGAAGGCAGTGAGGCTACTTGAGATACTAGACGAATATACCATTAACGTAATATCATTAAGACTGAATGACTCTACTGAGGACCTGAGAGGACCTGCGTGCTACATTGACCAAACGACACACTAGAAGGTGAAGGGGTGACGACGTTTCAGTCCGTCCTGGGCCATTCTCAAGTCTATTGACTCACAATCGATTTGAGAATGGTCCAGGACGGACCGAAACGTCGTCGTCCCATCACCTTCTAGTGTGTGGTTTGGTCAACATACTTTAGCCACGTTATTGTGACTCATCGCCTGCACCTGTCTGCTACGTCTAGCAATCTTGACTGCATTAGTAGCAATGGCTAAGTTGTGAATATGCAAGCAAAGGGACAGAAAAAAAGGACTGAATTACATGCAAATGAGAAACATATCTCTCAAGATACCTTACAGAATAAATTAAAAATGATCGTGAAATGCAATAAGGTTTGTAAATAATCACTAACGTAGCTTTAGCGAAGGGAAATTATGCTGTGCGACCCTCCTGTATTCCTAGGACGAATGGGTGACAATAAGACAGGGTATAGAATGATTGTCACGCTATATATTTCTACACTTGACAAACTCTTGACACCCTTTTGATATAGACGCTACTACACGTACATTAGAAGCAGGCGGGAGAGCACTGAACTAGTTAATAAAATATGTTACAAATAGGATGAATTCACAGTGAGCGGCGGAGGGTGGACAGGGACAGTGTATCAAGCATCTAGGATCTACATAATAATTTACTCTAGAACACATAATGCCTTACCCATTTTAATGACCTAGACATTGCGGGACAAAGCCCCACTTGTTAAATTTTGCAAATAAAAATATTATATGAAGAGCTGAACAAAGACAGACTGCAGAATACTCCCGGGAGACCAAGACGGGCTGGTTATGTTCACAAGCTTGTTCAAGGAATTAACATACTAGTAAGTAGGTGAAGACAGGAAACTGTAGACCTGCAGGATAGTCCACAATGAACACTCTCCCAGAGATTACATCGCAGAGAACACATAGAAGTAGACATGACTGCCAAGTCTTACCTTAAAGGCTTCTAACAAAGCTCAACTACAGTGGGACTTGTAACATGGCCATTGATGCACTCGGCTCACAACCAATTGAACCCGAGTTAGATATCCTAGCAAAGATATTTGGGAGCATTTCCTTACACCTGATCACTTATATTCATCAAGCAGCAAAGAGTTGCTGGAGGAATTAAACGGCTGTGTTCGGTTGCTTCATGAGGGAGGCCAGCCGCTGTCTTGGGAGGCATGAGGGAGGCCAGCCGCTGTCTTGGGAGGCATGAGGGAGGCCAGCCGTTGTCTTGGGAGGCATGAGGGAGGCCAGCCGCTGTCTTGGGAGGCATGAGGGAGGCCAGCCGCTGTCTTGGGAGGCATGAGGGAGGCCAGCCGCTGTCTTGGGAGGCATGAGGGAGGTCAGCCGCTGTCTTGGGAGGCATGAGGGAGGCCAGCCGCTGTCTCGGGAGGCATGAGGGAGGCCAGCCGCTGTCTTGGGAGGCATGAGGGAGGCCAGCCGCTGTCTCGGGAGGCATGAGGGAGGCCAGCCGCTGTCTTGTGAGGCTTCATGAGGGAGGCCAGCCGCTGTCTTGAGAGGCATGAGGGAGGCCAGCCGCTGTCTCGGGAGGCATGGGAGGCATGTCTTGGGAGGCATGAGGGAGGCCAGCCGCTGTCTTGGGAGGCATGAGGGAGGCCAGCCGCTGTCTTGGGAGGCATCATGAGGGAGGCCAGCCGCTGTCTTGAGGGAGGCCAGCCGCTGTCTTGGGAGGAGGGAGGCCAGCCGCTGTCTTGGGAGGCATGAGGGAGGCCAGCCGCTGTCTTGAGGCATGAGGCAGCCGCTGTCTTGGGAGGCATGAGGGAGGCCAGCCGCTGTCTTGGAGGCATCATGAGGGAGGTCAGCCGCTGTCTTGGGAGGCATCATGAGGGAGGTCAGCCGCGGTCTTGGGAGGCATCATGAGGGAGGCCAGCCGCTGTCTTGGGAGGCATCATGAGGGAGGTCAGCCGCTGACTTGGAGGCATCATGAGGGAGGCCAGCCGCTGTCTCGGGAGGCATGAGGGAGGCCAGCCGCTGTCTTGGGAGGCATGAGGGAGGCCAGCCGCTGTCTTGGGAGGCATGAGGGAGGCCAGCCGCTGTCTTGGGAGGCATGAGGGAGGCCAGCCGCTGTCTTGGGAGGCATCATGAGGGAGGCCAGCCGCTGTCTTGGGAGGCATGAGGGAGGCCAGCCGCTGTCTTGAGAGGCATCATGAGGGAGGTCAGCCGCTGTCTTGGGAGGCATCATGAGGGAGGTCAGCCGCTGTCTTGAGAGGCATCATGAGGGAGGTCAGCCGCTGTCTTGGGAGGCATCATGAGGGAGGTCAGCCGCTGACTTGGAGGCATCATGAGGGAGGTCAGCCGCTGTCTTGGGAGGCATCATGAGGGAGGCCAGCCGCTGTCTTGGGAGGCATGAGGGAGGTCAGCCGCTGTCTTGGGAGGCATGAGGGAGGCCAGCCGCTGTCTTGGGAGGCATCATGAGGGAGGCCAGCCGCTGTCTTGGGAGGCATGAGGGAGGCCAGCCGTCTGTCTTGGGAGGCATGAGGGAGGCCAGCCGCTGTCTTGGGAGGCATGAGGGAGGCCAGCCGCTGTCTTGGGAGGCATGAGGGAGGCCAGCCGCTGTCTTGGGAGGCATGAGGGAGGTCAGCCGCTGTCTTGGGAGGCATGAGGGAGGCCAGCCGCTGTCTTGGGAGGCATGAGGGAGGTCAGCCGCTGTCTCGGGAGGCATGAGGGAGGCCAGCCGCTGTCTCGGGAGGCATCATGAGGGAGGTCAGCCGCTGACTTGGAGGCATCATGAGGGAGGTCAGCCGCTGTCTTGGGAGGCATCATGAGGGAGGTCAGCCGCTGTCTCGGGAGGCATCATGAGGGAGGTCAGCCGCTGTCTTGGGAGGCATCATGAGGGAGGTCAGCCGCTGTCTCGGGAGGCATGAGGGAGGCCAGCCGCTGTCTTGGGAGGCATCATGAGGGAGGTCAGCCGCTGTCTCGGGAGGCATGAGGGAGGCCAGCCGCTGTCTTGGGAGGCATCATGAGGGAGGTCAGCCGCTGTCTTGGAGGCATCATGAGGGAGGTCAGCCGCTGTCTTGGGAGGCATCATGAGGAAGGTCAGCCGCTGTCTTGGGAGGCATCATGAGGGAGGTCAGCCGCTGGCTTGGGAGGCATCGTCGGGGGACAGACCAGGAATGGTAATACTGAGCATTTCATAATATTGTATGACACCTACGTGAGACTAGCGCTAGAGTATTCAATACCGATTTAGAGTTCCCGAATCAAACAGCATATATTAAAATATTGTAATTACTTGGAAATTTGCTAAGATGTTGGGCCTGGACCAGAAGAATTGTCAGAGAGGAAAAGGTGAAAAAGTTTACAAATAAAACCAACTGAACGCGAAGCTTTGAATGGAAGCTAGATATAGGATGAAAGTCCCATAACTGTTACAGTATTATGGAAAACAACTCGACGAAAAGGCAACATCACTTTATTAGTAGACATACCAGATGATGCATAGGGTGAGAGGCATTGTATTAGATGGCCGACGGCAGAAAAAGTTGGTTCCAAGAGCTGAAGCTCCGCCCTTCAGGAGCTTCAGGGCCAATACGGCAGGTGAGTCTATACACACAGTATCCCAGGCGAGGAGTCTACACAAAAGAGCACGCCGAGGGTCCCAGGCGAGGAGTCAACACAAAAGAGCACGCCCAGGGTCCCAGGCGAAGAGTCTACACAAAAGAGCACGCCGAGGGTCCCAGGCGAGGAGTCAACACAAAAGAGCACGCCCAGGGTCCCAGGCGAAGAGTCTACACAAAAGAGCACGCCCAGGGTCCCAGGCGAGGAGTCTACACAAAAGAGCACGCCCAGGGTCCCAGGCGAGGAGTCAACACAAAAGAGCACGCCCAGGGTCCCAGGCGAAGAGTCTACACAAAAGAGCACGCCCAGGGTCCCAGGGGAGGAGTCTACACAAAAGAGCACGCCGAGGGTCCCAGGCGAGGAGTCAACACAAAAGAGCACGCCCAGGGTCCCAGGTGAGGAGTCTACACAAAAGAGCACGCCCAGGGTCCCAGGTGAGGAGTCTACACAAAAGAGCACGCCGAGGGTCCCAGGCGAGGAGTCTACACAAAAGAGCACGCCCAGGGTCCCAGGCGAGGAGTCTACACAAAAGAGCACGCCGAGGGTCCCAGGCGAGGAGTCTACACAAAAGAGCACGCCCAAGATCCCAGGCGAGGGGTCTACACAAAAGAGCACGCCCAAGGTCCCAGGCGAGGAGTCTACACAAAAGAGCACGCCCAAGGTCCCAGGCGAGGAGTCTACACAAAAGAGCACGCCCAGGGTCCCAGGCGAGGAGTCTACACAAAAGAGCACGCCCAAGGTCCCAGGCGAGGAGTCTACACAAAAGAGCACGCCCAGGGTCCCAGGCGAGGAGTCTACACAAAAGAGCACGCCCAAGGTCCCAGGGGAGGAGTCTACACAAAAGAGCACGCCGAGGGTCCCAGGCGGGGAGTCTACACAAAAGAGCACGCCGAGGGTCCCAGGCGAGGAGTCTACACAAAATAGCACGCCCAAGGTCCCAGGCGAAGAGTCTACACAAAAGAGCACGGCCTGGGGAGGAGTCTACACAAAAGAGCACGCCCAGGGTCCTAAGCGAGGAGTCTACACAAAAGAGCACGCCCAAGGTCCCAGGCTAGGAGTCTACACAAAAGAGCACGGCCAGGGGAGGAGTCTACACAAAAGAGCACGCCCAGGGTCCTAGGCGAAGAGTCTACACAAAAGAGCACACCCAGGGTCCCAGGCGAGGAGTATACACAAAAGAGCACGCCCAGGGTCCTAGGCGAGGAATATACACAAAAGAGCACACCCAGGGTCCTAGGCGAAGAGTCTACACAAAAGAGCACACCCAGGGTCCCAGGCGAAGAGTCTACATAAAAGAGCACGCCCAGGGTCCTAGGCGAGGAGTATACACAAAAGAGCACACCCAGGGTCCTAGGCGAAGAGTCTACACAAAAGAGCACACCCAGGGTCCCAGGCGAAGAGTCTACATAAAAGAGCACGCCCAGGGTCCCAGGCGAGGAGTCTACACAAAAGAGCACGCCCAAGGTCCCAGGTTAGGAGTCTACACAAAAGAGCACGCCGAGGGTCCCAGGCGAGGAGTCTACACAAAAGAGCACGCCGAGGGTCCCAGGCGAGGAGTCTACACAAAAGAGCACGCCCAAGGTCCCAGGCGAGGAGTCTACACAAAAGAGCACGGCCAGGGGAGGAGTCTACACAAAAGAGCACGCCCAGGGTCCCAAGCGAGGAGTCTACACAAAAGAGCACGCCCAAGGGCCCAGGCTACGAGTCTACACAAAAGAGCACGGCCTGGGGAGGAGTCTACACAAAAGAGCACGCCCAGGGTCCCAGGCGAGGAGTCTACACAAAAGAGCACGCCCAGGGGAGAAGTCTACACAAAAGAGCACGCCCAGGGTCCCAAGCGAGGAGTCTACACAAAAGAGCACGCCCAGGGTCCCAGGCGAGGAGTCTACACAAAAGAGCACGCCCAGTGTCCCAGGAGAGGAGTCTACACAAAAGAGCACGCCCAGGGTCCCAGGCGAGGAGTCTACACAAAAGAGCACGCCCAGGGGAGGAGTCTACACAAAAGAGCACGCCCAGGGTCCCAAGCGAGGAGTCTACACAAAAGAGCACGCCCAAGGTCCCAGGCTAGGAGTCTACACAAAAGAGCACGCCCAGTGTCCCAGGAGAGGAATATACACAAAAGAGCACGCCCAGGGTCCCAGGCGAGGAGTCTACACAAAAGAGCACGCCCAGGGGAGGAGTCTACACAAAAGAACACGCCCAGGGTCCCAGGAGAGGAATATACACAAAAGAACACGCCCAGGGTCCTAGGCGAGGAGTCTACACAAAAGAGCACGCCCAGGGTCCCAGGCGAGGAGTCTACACAAAAGAGCACGCCCAGGGTCCCAGGCGAGGAGTCTACACAGAAGAGCACGCCCAAGGTCCCAGGCGAGGAGTCTACACAGAAGAGCACGCCGAGGGTCCCAGGCGAGGAGTCTACACAAAAGAGCACGCCCAAGGTCCCAGGCGAGGAGTCTACACAAAAGAGCACGCGCAAAGTCCCAGGAGAGGAATATACACAAAAGAGCACGCCCCGGGTCCCAGGCTAGGAGTCTACACAAAAGAGCACGCCCAGGGGAGGAGTCTACACAAAAGAGCACGCCCAGGGGAGGAGTCTACACGAAAGAGCACGCCCAGGGTCCCAGGAGAGGAATATACACAAAAGAGCACGCCCAGGGGAGGAGTCTACACAAAAGAGCACGCCCAGGGTCCCAAGCGAGGAGTCTACACAAAAGAGCACGCCCAGGGGAGGAGTCTACACAAAAGAGCACACTCAGGGTCCCAGGCGAAGAATATACACAAAAGAGCACACCCAGGGTCCTAGGCGAGGAGTCTACACAAAAGTGCACGCCCAGGGTCCCAGGCGAGGAGTCTACACAAAAGAGCACGCCCAGGGTCCCAGGCGAGGAGTCTACACAAAAGTGCACGCCCAGGGTCCCAGGCGAAGAGTCTACACAAAAGAGCACGCCCAGGATCCCAGGCGAGGAGTCTACACAAAAGAGCACGCCCAGGGTCCCAGGCGAGGAGTCTACACAAAAGAGCGCACCCAGGGTCCTAGGCGAGGAGTCTACACAAAAGAGCACGCCCAGGGTCCTAGGCGAAGAGTCTACACAAAATAGCACACCCAGGGTCTCAGGCAAAGAGTCTACATAAAAGAGCCCGCCGAGGGTCCCAGGCGAGGAGTCTACACAAAAGAGCACGCCCAGGGGAGGAGTCTACACAAAAGAGCACGCCCAGGGTCCCAGGCGAGGAGTCTACACAAAAAAGCACGCCCAGGCGAGGAGTCTACACTAAAGAGCACGCCCAGTGTCCCAGGAGAGGAATATACACAAAAGAGCACGCCCAGGGTCCCAGGCGAGGAGTCTACACAAAAGAGCACGCCCAGGGGAGGAGTCTACACAAAAGAACACGCCCAGGGTCCCAGGAGAGGAATATACACAAAAGAACACGCCCAGGTTCCTAGGCGAGGAGTCTACACAAAAGAGCACGCCCAGGGTCCCAGGCGAGGAGTCTACACAAAAGAGCACGCCCAGGGTCCCAGGCGAGGAGTCTACACAGAAGAGCACGCCCAAGGTCCCAGGCGAGGAGTCTACACAGAAGAGCACGCCGAGGGTCCCAGGCGAGGAGTCTACACAAAAGAGCACGCCCAAGGTCCCAGGCGAGGAGTCTACACAAAAGAGCACGCGCAAAGTCCCAGGAGAGGAATATACACAAAAGAGCACGCCCCGAGTCCCAGGCTAGGAGTCTACACAAAAGAGCACGCCCAGGGGAGGAGTCTACACAAAAGAGCACGCCCAGGGGAGGAGTCTACACGAAAGAGCACGCCCAGGGTCCCAGGAGAGGAATAAACACAAAAGAGCACGCCCAGGGGAGGAGTCTACACAAAAGAGCACGCCCAGGGTCCCAAGCGAGGAGTCTACACAAAAGAGCACGCCCAGGGGAGGAGTCTACACAAAAGAGCACACCCAGGGTCCCAGGCGAAGAATATACACAAAAGAGCACACCCAGGGTCCTAGGCGAGGAGTCAACACAAAAGAGCACGCCCAGGGTCCCAGGCGAGGAGTCTACACAAAAGAGCACGCCCAGGGTCCCAGGCGAGGAGTCTACACAAAAGAGCACGCCCAGGGTCCCAGGCGAGGAGTCTACACAAAAGTGCACGCCCAGGGTCCCAGGCGAAGAGTCTACACAAAAGAGCACGCCCAGGGTCCCAGGCGAGGAGTCTACACAAAAGAGCACGCCCAGGGTCCCAGGCGAGGAGTCTGCACAAAAGAGCACGCCCAGGGTCCCAGGCGAGGAGTCTACACAAAAGAGCGCACCCAGGGTCCTAGGCGAGGAGTCTACACAAAAGAGCACGCCCAGGGTCCTAGGCGAAGAGTCTACACAAAAGAGCACACCCAGGGTCTCAGGCAAAGAGTCTACATAAAAGAGCCCGCCGAGGGTCCCAGGCGAGGAGTCTACACAAAAGAGCACACCCAGGGTCCCAGGCGAGGAGTATACACAAAAGAGCACGCCCAGGGTCCTAGGCGAGGAGTCTACACAAAAGAGCACACCCAGGGTCCCAGGCGAAGAGTCTACACAAAAGAGCACACCCAGGGTCCTAGGCGAGGAGTCTACACAAAAGAGCACGCCCAGGGTCCTAGGCGAAGAGTCTACACAAAAGAGCACACCCAGGGTCCCAGGCGAAGAGTCTACATAAAAGAGCCCGCCGAGGGTCCCAGGCGAGGAGTCTACACAAAAGAGCACACCCAGGGTCCCAGGCGAGGAGTATACACAAAAGAGCACGCCCAGGGTCCTAGGCGAGGAGTCTACACAAAAGAGCACGCCCAGGGTCCCAGGCGAAGAGTCTACATAAAGGAGCCCGCCGAGGGTCCCAGGCGAGGAGTCTACACAAAAGAGCACACCCAGGGTCCTAGGCGAGGAGTCTACACAAAAGAGCACGCCCAGGGTCCTAGGCGAAGAGTCTACACAAAAGAGCACACCCAGGGTCCCAGGCGAAGAGT